ATCCTGCATGCTGCAGATTGAGGTTTGAAATAGTTGTTGGAGATTTGTGAATCTGCACCATCYWWHGWCACTTTTTGTAATAGTATAAACGAGAGAGTTTTATATCGTGTGCTTTGACTTTGAAAAAAGGCGGTACTCTTGTGGTAGCCATGTTGACCCTGATAGGTTCTTGTTTTGTTTTTCCTCCCCTGTTACCAAGAGCTAACGTCTAGTGTGAGCTGAGCTACTTTAGCTTTTGGTATCTGAGTGTTTGTTTCAGTACAGTTATCTTCCTGATCCAAAGCTAAGCTTTTCTTGATGCCGACGAGATGTAAGGCTTGGAAATTTGTGTATGGTTCGTTCTTTGGTTTTTCTGTTTTAAAATAAAATCACTACAATAAAATAACCATTTTGTTGTTTTAGTTGTCCATTTTATAAATACTTTTTCTTGTTCTATTTTAACAACTCCTGATACAGTAAGTGCCTTCCAACCTACTGTAGGGACAAATGTATGGGATTTATGAACGATAACATTCATTTAATGAGTTAATAACTTCTGAAGTGGGTGACCACAGCACCACAAAATCTTGGATAGCGACAATAAAGAAAGAGACGTACTGTTCTTTGGAAAAGCAATTTATTTATTATATAATACAATATTGTTCTTTTAAATGCACTTGATAACAAAATTTTAGAGCAGGATGAAGAATTTACATTTTATTTGTGTATTTTGTAATGAAAAATCACATCAGAATTTTACAGTGAACACCTTTGATAATCACACAGTTCCAGCAACAATTTGTGAAATAAGCTGATCTTTGAGGACAAAGAGATTGCCAACATGATTTCCAGTTAGTTGCTGCAGAGTGGATCAAGAGGTTGAGATGTGGTACAACTGCAATACACAATAGTCAGTGCACCTCATTGGAACCCCTAACTTAGATCAACTCACATGGTGCTTCACAATTAGGTTGTTTATTTTATTTTATTTTATTTTATTTTTGGGGTGGGGGGGTGTCAAAGTAGGTCTTATTAAAAAATGTTTTGTATTGTTTTCCATCTTTATGTTGGCAATTAGGATAAATTATCATCAAGAGCGTGATTTGTGTCCTTTTACAAGTAATGTAAGTTCTTTACATAATAACATTTTTATTATTATTCCTACTTAATAGCCTTCTTGATGACTAATTTTGATTAACCTGTCTAATGAGTTCCAAACAAGTTAAAAATAGACTATTGATTGATTGATTGATTGATTCAATAGACTCATGGTCCACGTTAACATAAAAGAGACAAAAAACAAACATAATACACAACAGAAAAGAAAAAACTTATAAAAGACTTGCATACCAGTATTTCCATAAAGATGACTGGTAGTGTAATGCACTCCCAGAAGGATGTGACAACATTAAAATAAGACTGTTCTTAGATTTACACAAACACCTAAATTTGTATATTAATTTCTCATAAGTGCTTGAAATGTCTTGACATGAGTACTACAAAACATCTCACTTGCACTACTGAATCTGGGTTTTTTAAGCAGAACTCTCAAGGAGTCATCATAAGCAACTTTAAGCTTCTGCATACTAGCTTTTTTAAATTTACACCACAGGGGGACAGTGTACAGAGATGTACAGTAAGATTTAAATAAACATATCTTTACATCATCTGAACACATATGAAATTTCCTCATCAAAATATTGGCACTGCGACACTGCCAATATATGTCATCATCATCACAGAGCTGGTCAGTGATGATGTGACCCAGATACTTGGTTTTAGTACATACATTTAACTTTTGCCCCAACAGAAAAAAATCAGGAAAACAAAGTTCTCTGTCTGCTTTAGTCCTGCATATTWGCACAACACTTTTCTTGGTATTATACTGCACATCATATGTAAAACCATAATCAGAGCAGACATTCAACAACTGCTGAAAACCAACTAAGTGCTGGGTGAGAGGACAGCCAGATCATCAGCATACATAAAGTGATTAACCAAAGTATCACCGATCATACATCCAGTTTTACAAAGGTTRAGTTGTTTAGACAAATCATCCATTTACAAGTTGAACAATGCAGGTGAAAGAAGCCCACCCTGATGCACACCATTACTCACCCCAAAAGAGGCAGAAATGTTATTGCCCCATTTTACATGTATTTTCTGGTTAGAATACCAGTAAACTAAAATTTTTAAAATGCTMTCTGGAACCCCTCTCTGTTTTTAATTTATCAAACAACTTGTAATGGTTGACTCGATCAAAGGCCTTAGAGGCATCAATAAACCCAATTAACACGTATATGCATTTYCTGTCTCTTTCAGGCCATAAATACAGAAATCAGTTCCCAACTTGGCTTTGAAACCAAATTTATTATCGTTTGTACAAATGAACTGATTAAGACACCAAGCAGTATTTTCTCTAAAACCATTGATATCACACTAGCTAGAGCTATCGGTCTGTAATTATCCAAGCTTCCAACCTTGCCAGTTTTATCCTTAATTACAGGCACCAGAGTAACAGATAATAAATAATAATAATATACTGAAATGCTACAAAAATAATTGTGTGTCTGTTGCAGAATGAATTGGACACAGTTGTGAGAATTTGYGACAATCACAGGATTCGACCAGGTGGAAATGGA